GCTGCAATTCTTGTGCCTGACATACCAGATATTAAATGTGTGTTGAATTAATGAATAGTTGAAAAAAATGTATATTAAAAAAAAATCAAAGCATAAGTTACCCAATGGATCGTAGGCCTCTACCCTACCATTTCTCAAAAAGTTTGGGGAATATTGTAAAACTATCTCTTAAAAATTCCCAGTGCACACTAGTACATTAAAGAATAAGAACTGCCATGAAAGAGGAGTTTGTTTTACTTTTTTGAAGAAAAGCTCCTAACTGTGCTTGAATACAGAATATAAAACATAAAAACACCTACCAACTGCCCCTACTTTGTAAAATAATGAAAGGGCTCCCACTACGTCTTATTGCTAACAGCCTACAGTGTGTACCACCAGTCTGATGATAATCTCTAAGTTTTTTTTAAATAAATAATAGAATTTTATGGCTTTCCAGATTTTACAGACAAGGCCCCCATTCTATAGCTGAAGGATTAAGTGGCCCAAGATCACTCAGCTTATTTGTGACAAAATAAAACCAGAATCAAGCCTAGCAAAACCCATCCAGTGTCCTTCCTACTACTCTGCATCAGTGATTCTCAGTCTGGGGTGACTTTTGTCCAATGTCTGGAGACATTGGTTACAACTATAGGGGATGGAGGAGGAAGGTGCTTAATATTCTACAATGCATAGGACAGATCCCCACAGCAAAGAAGTATTTGGCCCAAAATGTCAATAATGATGATGTTGAGAAACCTTGACCAACACTGAAAAAAAAAGGAATAAAAGAAAAAGTGGCCTGTTCAGTTAACAAAGTAGAGCTTCCACTTTAATGTCTCCCACTAGCCTGCACAGTGCTGCAGCATATTTGACATAATACTGGCATATGAAACTGAAATTGTTTTCTGAATCCATAAAAATAACTGCTGTAGGGAAAAGGCATGCATAAAAAAGCAATTCCACTCATCAGGGCTCGATCAAAATGGCTTTGGATACTATCAACCAAGAGAGAAAATCTAACACATTTTTCTTTCCCACACAATTCCCTCATAAGAATACTTGACTATGTTAACATTTCTAAATATTGCATTTACTAAGCAAGCCTCAGAATACGGCATAGGAAATTACCGGGAAGAAGGAAAAAAAAGGCCAGTCCCTGAAGGCAACACTGTGAGACAGTCTCTCCCTCAGGTGCACGAAACCCCTACTTCCAGGTCATCTGCCCTCTTTGCCAGATCAGTTTGCGTTCAAGCCTCCTTCTGTGTTTGCTTGTGTGAGTGGGATGACCTGAAAGCATCAGACGCAGGAAAGGACCATTTGGGATAATGTCAGGACATTGTCCCCCACACCGGGTGCTACACAGAGGATGCCCACAGGGCAGCCCCAGCTCCACAAGAAAGCCCCAGCTCTCAGGAGTATCTTCTCACCAGTTTCCTCTTCTGGTTAATATATTACAGTTAAGTAAGATGTTATCATTGGGGAAGATGGTCAAAGGGTACATCCAAATTCTCAACACAAATTTTGCACTTTCTTGTGAGTCTAAAATTATTTCAAAATAAAAAAGTTGTTTTTAAATGATGTCATTGGTAGTAGGTCGATTTTGGTTTTGGCTGTGGTCCTTTGCTAAAACAGAACCACCTGATTATCTGATTGGTGAGCGTGAAAGGATATGAACCGGGACGCCGGGGAATAAGAGTCCACAACACCACAGAAGGCTTCTTTACCCATCAGATCCTCTTCCAAAGAGAGGAGGAGCGAAAAAGGAGTAAGAACTGAGAAAGACTTGATGGAGGGAAGACGTGAAGAAGGAATGGACCCAGCACAGGAGGGTTTCCCAGGTGGTAAACCTCATGAGAGCTATAAGGAAACTCTGCCACAACAAAGGACAATATTTATGAGAACTCTGTGCCAAAAAAGAGATGTCGGGGGGGCGGGGGGAGCATGAAACTAAGACACAGTTTCTCCTATGTAATGACTTGGTAGGTAGAGATGGCCCTGCCTGTATCCCGAATAAACTTCCCTCAGACTTAGACACTATCCAGCTAAGGTGTGCCCAGGCATAATGGGACATCCTCGGGGTAGAAAGAAGTGGGAGTCAGGAAATCTGGAGTCACATTCCACATTTGTTCCTCTCAGGAATTTGTGTCCCCCGGACCCTGGGACAAGTCACTCATGGATTCAGTTTGCTCACCTGAAGGTCAGGGAATTGGTACTGGGTTACAAAGACCCCTTACCTCTCTGTCCCGGCCTCTAAGACTATTTTAAGTGTCAGGATAAACTCCATTGATTTAATAAAAAATAAAACCTACTGCTGAAAGACAACCAGTTTCCTATGAATTTTCCAATGCAAATCAGTTCCTTAATGAATGGGAATAGAACAAATATTGCTATTTTAGCACCAGGAGGATCAGCTCAGAAGTCAAAAAGCTTTCATTCTCACTCTCAGACTCATTCTCAACTGCAGATGGGCCTCGAAGATGTGATTTCCCAAGAATTAAACTGGGAGAAAGGAATGTAGACACCTAAAGTCAGAGCTCCCTAGAAGACTGTTTCCCCCAATGAATGCACACATCAAAGTGTTTAAGGTCTGCTGAACCCTCCAGAACATGCCCAAATTACAGAGGAGCAGTTTATAAAGAGGTCAAGTGAAGAGAGAATTTGGGGCTTGGAGGAGTCAAACATGCCACTGTGGGTGCTTTAGGAAGAGGGTAGGATTAATGTGTGTTAATATCCCTATTCTGCCGTTTTCACATATAAAACCCAATAATGTTTATGTATTATTGGCATTTTTAAAAGCCTGTGGTTGCCCTGGCTAGTGTGGCTCAATTTGTTAGAGTGTCACCCCGTACACCAAAAGGTGATGGGTTCTATTCCCGGTCAGAGCAATACCCAGGTTGCGGGTTCAATCCCTGGCACGTGTGAGAGGTAACCAGTTAATGTTACTTTCTCACATCGATGTTTCTCTCCTCTTCTCTCTCTTCTCTCTCTTCTCTTCTCTTCTCTTCTCTTCCTCTCTCTCTCTCTCTCTCTCTTCTCTCTCTCTCTCTTTATCTCTTTATCCATCTCCCTCTCCCTCTTTCTCTCTTTTTCTCTCTCCCTCTCTCCCTCCCTCTCTTCCTCTCTCTAAGACCAATAAAAAAATTAAAATAAAAGCCTGTGGTTAATTCAGTCCATGCTTATGGCTTGATTATGCAATGTGGCTTTAAAATGTGTTCATGCTTCATCAATCACATAGATACTTTTCCAGAGCTGAAAATCACACCTGGTCCATGGTTGTTGGGCCACATCAAAAGGATTATTTATGTGCTAATTGCTTTCCTTTCATTAAGGTGCTGTGCATGATAATGAGATGTAATGGGTTGTGCTAGGTGTTTGCAATGAATAGCTTCTATCAGCCACTGCATGATTGTTAGCCCACCTTCAAGTCACCAGGATGTTCAACCTGCAGGCAGAGTAATGATAGTTTCTATAGAACCTCTTCTTTTTGAGAGATAATTTCCATTGCAAGTAATCTCAGCATTATTTAGCACTATTCTTTAATAGAATGTGAAGTAAGGTAGCGAGAATGTGTCAGAGATGCGAATCAACCTAATGTATCAGACCAACGTTTGTGTCACTGTCAGCATTACTGATAATAAAAAATATAGTGGAATGATTTTAGAAAAGTTTGCCAGAATTCAGGACAGTTGAACTCCCTTACCAGCCTATGAAGGAACAGTTCTTAGCTGGCATTTGAATCTCCGTCATACATTTCCTTTCCCTCTTTCTCCATTCTCATTTTCTATTCGATTATGAACAATATTATATAATTTATTCTTAACTACAATCGCCTCCTATTTAACTCTCCTCCCTCCTTATCTCTTTTGCTTCTCAGATCACTCACCCCAAAGTTTATCTTTATCATAACGTGTGTCTTACAGGGAAAAGGAGAGGGGGCCTGACAGCAGGGAAGGTCAGTGTCATAAAAAAACACTCTGAGGGAGAGTAAGTGGATACTGCAGGGACCTGCTCTCAGGAACAAACCGGTATTACAACTGAAATACAGAAAAACATCCTGAACAGTCAACAGAAAACTCGCAGGAGAGAAACCTGACCCCCGAGGACCGAAAGTGGAGACCGCATAGAGACTGTGCATGTAACATTATTATATTTAAAATCATTTTTTTGAAATACGGTTTATTGCATGGAAAAAATAAATAAAATTTGATTTACATTAAAATAAATAAATTCTTAATTTGAAAAAGAAAAACGCAACACCACCACTCTGAGCTGCATTGCAAAAAAATACAGAAGGGAGAGATCAGAAAAAAAATCAAGAGGGAAGTATCAATGGTCTGAATTAAGACAATAATGACAGTAAAGGCAAGGCAATAACAGATTTTTTAAAAATATGCTGAAAGTGGACTAAATAGGACGCAGTACATGGCTACAGGACAGTGATAAAGAGGAGAGAATAAACAATTTGAAGTTTTCTAACTGTGCTGAGAGGTAGATGGAGTTAGTTCCTTTAACAAAGACCAGAAACTAAGGTGAGGTGTCTGGCATGAAGGAGTTGAGGGGTTCAGCTTTGGACATACAGGGCTGTATTTAGGGCTGATGTCCCACATACCAATGGCAATCAGTGTTTTTCATGGACAGGAAACTTCTAGATTTAAAGAGAATTGAGATAAAGAAAATCTTCCAACCATTTTCTCCTTTTCTCCCTCTCTTCATTTTACTGGGGGAAAAATATGTTAAGAAGCTACTGCGCGCCAAGCCAGCTTCAAATGAAATAAACACAACACACATGCACAAATATTTCCCTCAGCTATTCAGAGGTTGAATGTCCACACCATGGATCCTATTCCACTCTTCAATTAGTCTTTCCTTTCTTCAGTCAATGTAGTAAAACTTTTGATGGGAAAATGTATATACATGAAGCATCTGCAGTGAATAATATAGAAGGACCATCTCTGCAGACTCATGTTATCTCTTGACCATAACTCCCTATTCCCAGACAACCTATTGTCTCTTTCACTCACCTGCTCCGGATACTTGCTACCAATGATCTCTGCTACAGTGTTGAAGGAATCAGCATCTGGATAGTTCTTTGCCCCCATCTTCAGCTGAATGACAATTTTGCTCCCACGAGAAACCATTCTTGACATCATTTCTGCATCTTCCACTGTAATGCAGGCTGTTGGGATTTGTGGCACACCGTCCTGGTATTCCTGAATACCTGTGTGAGGACTTGAGAAAATAAGCCACCAGGTTACCTTAGAAGCAGAAATAAACTGCAAGTATTGTTTTAAGTGACTGCATTTGACATTTGACTTTCACTGATCTTTGTTTGCATATGAGGAACAGGACCCGTGGGCAAATATTGTTTCATTTGCTTTTGATGTAAACGTAATGCTTCTTTTTGGAAAAATAACTTAGAAACTTCAATTTAATAATTATCTCATGGAAAATATTATGTGAAATTTATTTTGATAATTTGGATGATCCTTTAAAGTCTCAAATTGCCTCAAACTTGGAAGAACGTTAAGATTGCCTTCGTGACCAGGCAGTGAACACACCGCTCCAGGAGATAAAGGGAGCTCTGGAGTCCATCGAGGCTGCAGACCAGAACCCCACACATCTGGAAGAAAACTGGTCCAGGGACGCCCAGCTCTCTGGTCACTGACTGGCTCTGGGGCTATTCCCTTCCCAAACCCAGAGGTCCAAATCTGTAGCCTTGAATTGGTGGTAGAACACTTTGCAGAAAACTGTAGAACAATGGGGAACATTTGTGTTCCTATGAAGAAAAGTGCTGAATAAACCCAGGTCCCTGATTGTACCGCTATTTTAAAAAAAATACAAAAAACAATTATGCTTTTGGCACTAAAGAATAAACATTACTGAAACTGGTCAAGTTTTCCCTGCTAATTTCCAAATGCTTCTTACATTACTAGAAACAGTTGGAAATGAAGTTTATATTAATCTACTGTTGATTCAAACTCTAATGGGCTAATCAAGTTTGATAAACTCATTTTCTAAAATTGCTCTTCCAACCTGTCCATTTTTACTCTCCCAGATCACAACTCCCTCAGGACCAAGCAGGCACAGCTTCTGAGTGCACACCTCATCGTATCATCCATTCCCATCTCTGTCAAAGCACAAGCTAGCAGCTCCCTTTTAAAATTAATTTTTCTCTTCATATTTGGTTCAGATTCTCTCATGTTTACAGAAAAGCTTTTCTTATGCATAAACACAACAACCCATTATCATTGTTTTCTTGGTGTTACTATATTGTAGTGACCATATGTCAGGGGACTGTTTACTTACTTAGAGAAATTGCATAACAAAATGATTAAGAATAGGCTCAGGAGCAAAACTGTCTGGGTTCAAATCTGGGCTCTGACACTTATTGTTAATTGACTTTGGGTAAATTATCTTTGCTTTAGTGGCTTCATCTATAAATGGAGGTGATAATAATAATACCTGTTTCATAGACGTATTTTACACATTCAATTAATTTATACAAGTTAATCACTTACTTAGGAACATAGTAAACACTCAATAAATGTTAAATATTTATTTTATCACTTGTCCATTACATTATCCCTATTAAGACTGTGTCATCTCAAGTCCTTAGTAACATCTGAGTATACCTTTTATAAATACTCCTTAAATGTTGACTAAACATGTTATTCTTTATCAAAAGAAAGACAAATGACTTTTAAACTCAAGACTTGTAATATAGAAGCTCAGAATCAGAATCCCTGTTGTAGAATATGCCTGATTTACAATAACTTCTGACTCAGGACAGGCTATGCAGTCACATAACCTACATCACCCCTGGCTCTACCTTTCTTTACCTGCCTAATACCAAGCAACTTAGATTACCTCCCTGTTTCTGAGTTTCTTCATCTGTAAAGTGGAGAAGAATATTAGTATTGACCTTATTAGATTGCTATGAGGAATAAAAGACATAGTATATGTAAAAAATTTAAAACAGGGTTTGGCCCAGCCTGTGTGGCTCAATGGTTGAGTGCCAACCCATGAACCAGGAGGTCACAGTTCAATTCATGGTCAGACACATGCCCGGGTTACAGGCTCAATCCCCAGTGGGAGTTGTGCAGGAGGCAGCCAATTGATTAATCTTTCTCATCATTGATGTTTCTATCTCTTTCCCTTTCCATGCCTTTCTCTGAAATCAATAAAAACATTTTAATGAATAAATAAATAAAATAGGGTTTGGCACATAGTGATTATTTAGTAAACATGTTATTATTATTATTTCTTCAGGGCTAATTTTCCCCCACTGAAATGGTCAAGTAATTAATGACCAAAAGCATTATAAAACATGTACGAAGACCATCTAAATATTTATCATATCTAAGATTCAAGAAATTCTCCTTGTGCTCAGATTTGCTATGAGGAATAAAAGACATAGTATATGTAAAAAATTTAAAACAGGGTTTGGCCCAGCCTGTGTGGCTCAATGGTTGAGTGCCAACCCATGAACCAGGAGGTTACAGTTCAATTCATGGTCAGACACATGCCCAGGTTACAGGCTCACTCCCCAGTGGGAGTTGTGCAGGAGGCAGCCAATTGATTAATCTTTCTCATCATTGATGTTTCTATCTCTTTCCCTTTCCATGCCTTTCTCTGAAATCAATAAAAACATTTTAATGAATAAATAAATAAAATAGGGTTTGGCACATAGTGATTATTTAGTAAACATGTTATCATTATTATTTCTTCAGGGCTAATTTCCCCCCACTGTAATGGTCAAGTAATTAATGACCAAAAGCATTATGAAACATGTATGAAGACGATCTAAATATTTATCATATCTCATGTGATGTCTAAGGTTCAAGAAATTCTCCTTGTGCTCAGACTCTCTTACTCAAGAGGTCATTATAACATTTCTGAATAGGCTCCTTAAATAATGTTTCTAAATAAATCTGTACTGATATGTTACAAGTAAGTGCTCTTAAAGAGTAGACAGGGATCAGGGCATGCATCCATGGCTCCAATGAGGAAAATGGCACTGAAAGGCATCTTCTAACCATGGTTCCAAATTCAAGATATAAAAGCCTTATAATTGCTTCTGCAATTGAGCATGTCTCCCACTGGTGGAATATCTAGCCCTGTTTACTAGAAGTAGGCAGAATGAAGAGTCAACAGTTTTATTTGGAGTCCTATACATTCACTGTCAATTGCCCTACAGAGAAAGATCAGCATAAATACTACCTTCATGATCCACCTGCAAGTTAATAGCAAAGGGTAAATGATAAATAAAGCCATAAAAATAAATAAAATTAAAGATCAATACCAATTCTTTACAAAGTGTTCTAAAAAATGCAGGACAAGGGAACACTTCCCAACTCATTCTGTAAGGTCAGTATTACTGTCATCAAAACCAAAGACATCACAAGAAGAGAAAACTATAATCCAACATCTCATGAATATAAATACAAAAAAAATCCTCAAAAAACATAAGAAAATTGATACCAGCAACATATAAACATCTGAAAAGGATTACATACCATGATGAAGTGAGATTTATCCAGGAAATGCAAGATTGATTTAACATCCCCAAAATCAATCAAAACCAAGTTGGCAGACTCATACTTCCAAATTTCAAAACTTACTACAAATCTCTGGTAATCAAGAGAGTGTGGTATTGGTATGACATATAGATTAATAGAATAGAATAGAATTGAGTCCAGAAAGAAACCGTTATAAGAATGGTCAATTCATTTTAACAAGGGTGCTAATACAATTCAATAGAAATAGAAAAATGTTTTCAACTTATATCTGGAGCCAACCAGATAGCCACAGAGAATGAAGGTATACCTCTATATTAAAACATATACAGAAATGAATGCAAAATGAGTCAGACCTAAATATGAATTAAACTATAAAACTTGATGAACTTGAGTACAGAAATTCCTTCTTATATACAACACCAAAATCCTATGCAACAAAAGAAAAATTAGATAAACTGAACCATAAAATTATAAACTTTTGTATTTCAAAAGACATCATCAAGCTTTGGCCAGTGTGGTTCAGTTGGTTGGAGTACCATCCCATACACCAAAAGGTGTCAGCTTTGATTCTGGTCATGGCATATGCCCAGTTGGGGTGCATACAGGAGGCAACTGATCGATGTTTCTCTCTCACATCAATGCTCTCTCTCTCTCTTTCTAAATATCAATAATTTTTTTTTAAATGACACCATTAAAAAGTGAAAAGGCTAGCCACAGAATGGGAGAAAATATTTGTAAATCGTGTATCTGATAAGGCACTTGTATCTAAGAGCTCTTAATTCAATAATAAAAAGGCAATCCAATTAAAAATGGGTAAAGAATTTGAATAGGTTTCCTCCAAATAAGATATACAAATGGATATTACCCACATGACAAGATGCTGAATATCATTAGCCATAAAGGAAATGCAAATCAAAACCACAATGAGATGTCACCTCACATCCTCTGGCTATCATAAAAAAGACAAATAAAAAACAAGCATTGGCAAAGATGTGGAAATATAAAATGGTGTAGCCACTTTGAAAAACAATTTTGACAGTTCCTTAAAAAGTTAAACATAATAGTATAGCTACCATATGACCCAGCAATTCTACTTCTAGGTATATACTCAAGAGAAATAAAGATATATGTCCACAAAAAATTTGCACACCAATGTTTGTGGTGGCATTATTCATAGTAGTCAAAAGGTGGAAACAAGCCTAATGTCCATCAACTGATGAATGGATAAACAAAATGTGGTATTCCCCTACAAGGAATATTAATTAGCAATACAGAAATAATGTTTATCCGAAGACATCAAAAACACAAATTTGAAAAACATATACATCCATTTGTTCATCACAGAATTATTTACAATAGCCAAAATATGGAAGCAACCTAAGTGCCCATCAATAGACAACTGGATAAAGAAGTTGTGATAT